AATCTGGTTACAAGGGAGTTGGGGATCGGGGGAGTTTGGGGTCGGGGGAGTTGAGGGTCGGGGGAGTTGGGGGCGGGGAAATTGGAGGTCGGTGGAGTTGGGGGTCGGTGAAGTTGGGGGGGGGGGGGCGGCAATTATTTTTTTTTTCAAATTTGTATGTGTCATTATTCAGTTTTTGCCCTTACTTTGAAGACCTTGGGTTGCATAATTATGAAGCCTTTTAAATGCATTTGCAAGTAAAACTAGAAGGACATAAACATAAACTGGGTGTATGTATACTGTTAAAATGTGTGTCTTTTGGGCAGCGGGAACTCCGAGAGTGTTGTAAATGACTGTTAAAATAATGACACCAGTAGACTTTTGCTAAATCCAGATTTGTTTTTTAAAATTGGGGAATCGAAATAATTAATTTAGCATATTTTTTTGTAATGAATGTAAGCGGTGAAGACCAGGGGTCAGAGTGTATATCTGTGTAGAGTTGAGCCCTTGTAACCTTCTTCAGCAACATGCGACTCATTGGATCCTTCTCCAGATAATATTATGCCACTTTTTTCAACAACAAAAAGTCGGTGTGTGTTTCTCTGTCAGAAGCCGATCCTAATGTGGGAATAACTAACTCTGCTGTGACATTTTCACCTCCCCCCACCCCCCCCCCCCCCCCCCCCCCCCTGTCGTCAGAAGACACCAATCGCGTTAGTAGACTCGGTCATTATTGAATGCTTAGGTTGTACAGCATCGGTGGTCTAGTGGTAGAATACTCGCCTGCCACGCGGGTGACCCGGGTTCGATTCCCGGTCGATGCAAGTTTTTTTTTTTTTTTTTTTTTTAATCAGATGCGAAGGAAACGGCTATTTCTTAATTGCAAACAACAAACAATTTGTAGAAGACGAAATGAAGGAGCATATACAATGATGAGATTGAAGAAAAAAAAAAAGATGAGACTGAAGGAGAAATAATGATGAGTTTAAAGTGTGAAAAAAGTTAAGGAGGATCAGAGATGAGACTAAAGAAGAATAAACAGGTGAGACATAAAAGAGAGGAAAGAAAAGCAGATACGGATCAAGTGAAGTATGGATAGAAACGAGGAGAAGTAACGACGAGGACGAGATTTAAAGCAAGGAGAGGTAAAAAGCAAAATATGGGAAGGCAGGAACAAAGAATAACAGGAGCAAGAGAAAAAATGTCAAAGGAGATGAATATTCCTGTAGTATGTATGCTATTTTAAAAGGTTATATAACTCTGAAGTTATCAAATATTTATATTTGATTAACTAACCTCTGTTTATGGTGCTAAAGTCCCAGATCTAGGGTCTTAGTTCAGGGGACATGTGCGGACGTCGCTCTCGTTAGCTCTAGGGACATGTGTGGACGTCGCTCTTGTTAGCTCTAGGGACATGTGTGGACGTCGCTCTTGTTAGCTCTAGGGACATGTGCGGACGTCGCTCTTGTTAGCTCTAGGGACATGTGTGGACGTCGCTCTTGTTAGCTCTAGGGACATGTGTGGACGTCGCTCTTGTTAGCTGTAGGGACATGTGTGGACGTCGCTCTCGTTAGCTCTAGGGACATGTGTGGACGTCGCTCATGTTAGCTCTAGGGACATGTATGGACGTCGCTCTTGTTAGCTCTAGGGACATGTGTGGACGTCGCTCTTGTTAGCTCTAGGGACATGTGTGGACGTCGCTCTTGTTAGCTCTAGGGACATGTGTGGACGTCGCTCTCGTTAGCTCTAGGGACATGTGTGGACGTCGCTCTCGTTAGCTCTAGGGACATGTGTGGACGTCGCTCTTGTTAACTCTAGGGACATGTGTGGAAGTCGCTCTTGTTAGCTCTAGGGACATGTGTGGACGTCGCTTTTGTTAGCTCTAGGGACATGTGTGGACGTCGCTCTTGTTAGCTCTAGGGACATGTGTGGACGTCGCTCTTGTTAGCTCTAGGGACATGTGTGGACGTCGCTTTTGTTAGCTCTAGGGACATGTGTGGACGTCGCTCTTGTTAGCTCTAGGGACATGTGTGGACGTCGCTTTTGTTAGCTCTAGGGACATGTGTGGACGTCGCTTTTGTTAACTCTAGGGACATGTGTGGACGTCGCTCTTGTTAGCTCTAGGGACATGTGTGGACGTCGCTCTTGTTAGCTCTAGGGACATGTGTGGACGTCGCTTTTGTTAGCTCTAGGGACATGTGTGGACGTCGCTCTTGTTAGCTCTAGGGACATGTGTGGACGTCGCTCTCGTTAGCTCTAGGGACATGTGTGCACGTCGCTCATGTTAGCTCTAGCGACATGTGTGGACTTCACTCTAGTTATCTCTAGAAACATGTTTGGACGTCACTCTTGTTAGCTTTAGGGACATGTCTGGACGTCGCTCTTGTTAGCTCTAGGGACATGTGTGGACGTAGCTCTCGTTAGCTCTAGAGACATGTGCGGACGTTGCTGTCTTTAACTCGGGGATCAGGTGTGGACGTCGCTCTTGTTAGCTCTAGGGACATGTGTGGACGTCGCTCTTGCTAGCTCTAGGAACATGTGTGGACGTCGCTCTTGTTAGCTCTAGGGACATGTGTGGACGTCGCTCTTGTTAGCTCTAGGGACATGTGTGGACGTCGCTCTTGTTAGCTCTAGGGAAATGAGTGGACGTCGCTCTTGTTATCTCTAGGGACATGAATGGATGTTGCTCTTGTTAGCTCTAGGGACATGTGAGCACGTCGCTCTTGTTAGCTCTAGGGACATGTGTGGACGTAGCTCTCGTTAGCTCTAGAGACATGTGCGGACGTTGCTGTCTTTAACTCGGGGATCAGGTGTGGACGTCACTCTTGTTAGCTCTAGGGACATGTGTGGACGTCGCTCTTGTTAGCTCTAGGGACATGTGTGGACGTCGCTCTCGTTAGCTCTAGGGACATGTGTGGACGTCGCTCTTGTTAGCTTTAGTGACATGTGTGGACGTCGCTCTTGTTAGCTTTAGGGACATGTGTGGACGTCGCTCTTGTTAGCTCTAGGGACATGTGTGGACGTCGCTCTTGTTAGCTTTAGGGACATGTGTGGACGTCGCTCATGTTAGCTCTAGGGACATGTGTGCATGTCACTCTTGTTAGCTCTAGGGACATGTGTGGACGTCGCTCTCGTTAGCTCTAGGGTCATGTGTGGACGTCGCTTATGTTAGCTCTAGGGACATGTGTGGACGTCGCTCTTGTTAGCTCTAGGGACATGTGTGGACGTCGCTCTTGTTAGCTCTAGGGACATGTGTGGACGTCGCTCTTGTTAGCTCTAGGGACATGTGTGGACGTCGCTCTCGTTAGCTCTAGGGACATGTGTGGACGTCGCTCATGTTAGCTCTAGAAACATGTTTGGACGTCGCTCTTGTTAGCTTTAGGGACATGTGTGGACGTCGCTCTTGTTAGCTTTAGGGACATGTGTGGACGTCGCTCTTGTTAGCTCTAGGGACATGTGTGGACGTCACTCTAGTTATCTCTAGAAACATGTTTGGACGTCACTCTTGTTAGCTTTAGGGACATGTGTGGACGTCGCTCTCGTTAGCTCTAGGGACATGTGCGGACGTCGCTCTTGTTAGCTTTAGGGACATGTGTGGACGTCGCTCTTGTTAGCTCTAGGGACATGTGTGGACGTCACTCTAGTTATCTCTAGAAACATGTTTGGACGTCACTCTTGTTAGCTTTAGGGACATGTGTGGACGTCGCTCTCGTTAGCTCTAGGGACATGTGCGGACGTTGCTGTCTTTAACTCGGGGATCAGGTGTGGACATCGTTGGTGGTTAATACACCTGGTGGTCAGACTCTGGGAGGTGTGGTAGATTATTGGTTAGAAGCTCGCCTACCAGCCCTATGGTTTTGGGTTCCAGCCCTAAACAAGGCAGATTTAAAAAAAATGACATTGACACTAATTCGACCCATTCTAACATTGGTATCATGACAAGGACATTCCTGGTAAGCTGAGGCGGACAGTGTGGTGTGGACATCACAAATCGAGTGATGATTGGTCCTTACAAAGTCTAGCACCATCTGCGCCACGATCCTCTGATGTGGACATCACAAATCGAGTAATGATTGGTCCTTACAAAGTCTAGCACCATCTGCGCCACGATCCTCTGATGTGGACATCACAAATCGAGTGATGATTGGTCCTTACAAAGTCTAGCACCATCTGCGCCACGATCCTCTGGTGTGGACATCACAAATCGAGCGGGTCCGTTACTTTGAAAATGGTCCGTTACTTTGGAAAGGGTCCATTACTTTGATTTACCCTATTTAACATTAAGCGAAAGGGTGCTCCATCTGCACTCAGATAAGCCAGTAAAACGGATGTTCACGCAAAATGTAGAAGTGGTATATAGCTAAAGTCTAAATGGACAAACAGCCAGGAATATCCATCAGAGCCTGCAGCCGATGAACAAATAAGAAGCCCACAAACCAAACTGAAGCTTAGGGCGTTTTGATTTATCCAGCATCATGCAGCTGGCACAGAGCCACGCTGGTCTCTGTGATACCAGATCACAAGACAGAGAGGGGTAGAGCCGGCTCCCCCATCAAACAGTGGTCTACTCAGCAACAACAACAACAACAACAACAACTACAACAACAACAACAACTACAATAACAGCAACAACACCTGCTCGTTGTGCAGCTCTAGTACCACATTTCTGATGGACATAACTAGTTAATGACGCGACAGTGAGTATCTTTTTATGGTATTAATATCAGCATATGTGTCTATCGCATGTTTAAACTTGGTAATCAATACATTGAGCATTCTTTGACAGAAATAGATTGTTGTTTCAAGTAGAAATATTGATCGGTGTTTTATTGAGCTGCTCCTTGATCTCAGAGCAGACCGTTTTGAGTTGAATGTGATAATGCTATGGACATCGTATTGCTGAGAGAGCGATGGCAAACTAGTGCACGCGTCATTGACTAGGACCACTAAAGTCAACAATTGTAGCGCTTGGCTTTGGCAGACCTTGTCTTATGACAAGAGACGTCACCGCACATTGGACACTACCAGGCATGTACCAGGCATGTACCAGGCGTGTACCAGGCATGTACCAGACATGTACCAGACATGTACCAGGCATGTACCAGGCATGTACCAGGCATGTACCAGGCATGTACCAGACATGTACCAGACATGTACCAGGCATGTACCAGGCATGTACCAGACATGTACCAGGCATGTACCAGACATGTACCAGGCATGTACCAGACATGTACCAGGCATGTACCAGGCATGTACCAGGCATGTACCAGACATGTACCAGACATGTACCAGGCATGTACCAGGCATGTACCAGACATGTACCAGGCATGTACCAGACATGTACCAGGCATGTACCAGAAATGTACCAGGCATGTACCAGGCATGTACCAGACATGTACCAGATATGTACCAGACATGTACCAGACATGTACCAGGCATGTACCAGGCATGTACCAGACATGTACCAGGCATGTACCAGGCATGTACCAGGCATGTACCAGACATGTACCAGGCATGTACCAGACATGTACCAGGCATGTACCAGGCATGTACCAGACATGTACCAGGCATGTACCAGACATGTACCAGGCATGTACCAGACATGTACCAGGCATGTACCAGGCATGCGGGAGCCACGCAAAGTATCTGCTGATTGTTTCCAGGAGAAGCTGATTACAGTTTATACTATCTTGACCTCGGTAACGACACCGACAGATTTCCCCCAAGTTTCAACCCTATGTGCCAGCGGGAAGAAGGAAAACAGAAAACACAAGATTTTGAGAACAATGAAAATGTGGTAAGTAGTTCTCCGCTGAAAAGCAAAAACAGGAAAAGTACAGAAAATACAAGGGTTCTTTTGTGCAGGGGCCATGAAAAATGATCATCAAATCCCTGGCAAAGGATATGTGAATAATTGTGTTACACAAAAGAAAAAAAAAAAAACTGACTGCAACTACATTTTACTATAGAGGCAAAGTCTAAACTAAAGCACAGACTACAAGTTGAATCAAGCAAATGAATATAACTATCATATTCAACATCTGTTTAATTTACTGAACTCAAAACTCACGTGGTTTACAAATAACAATACATTAACAACCAGCATCGTGTCTACACAGACCACTCGTCAAACACCCCAGCTAACAAAAGTGAAAGTTTGCCTCTAGCGACTTGAACTCAGATAAAATCCCCGAACGATAATACACACTGATAATCTAGGCCTACACAGTTTAACTACTGGAGCGAATTTATATCTAAGACCGAAACTAACAATAGAACATATCACCGCTATAATCAACGAGCCGAACTCTCTACCTCGGCTCGGTCAATCGCACCTGTGTCGCGATGAGACCACGTGCGATTAGCAACCAATATGCAACTGAGCACGGCCAGCCGAGGACACACCGAGAGAGCGCTCTCAGCGTAAGTCCAAGTCCAAGTCCTTTTGAGTCTGCTGCTAGCTAGCCTAGGCTGCTAACAGTCTCCGCTTATATTTGTGGTCTGGGTTATTTGTGTCACTTTCATGACTAAATTCTAGTATTGCGCCATTTCTTGGCTTGATGCTTCCATCCGGTTCCGACCGCTCCTCCTACACCGTTGTTATCTGTTCGTTTCTTTCCTTTTCTTATCTGGTGTCTCCTCTTGGTGTCATCTCTCTCTGATTTGGCCAGGCGTATCTCGTAGGAGAGCGAGTTTTTCCACACAACGTCCTTTGGACCACCATTTATAGTTTTACAATTTTGAGTATTTTATTTTGCCAAAAGTACTGAAAACAGTTTTTGAATTTGAATAGTTCCGAAATGTGAAAATCTTCCGCTTGTGACCATAATGGTCTTATAGTTGTCTTCCTGTAATAGGAACGGGTTAGTCATGTAATGGATATGTGTGTGAAAGGTTGTGTGGAGGTCTAGTCGTCATTTGTTAGTGTGTGATGGGGTTGTGTTGACAGCTAAGCTCCGGTGTACGTAAATACCATATAACCGGAGCATCCAGCTCACGCTTTGAGATTCAAATGTACAGCGATGAGAATTGCTGTGGCATGTTAGGTAACGAGCTCAAGTGTTCTCTGTGGGAATGGGTTGGGGAGTTAAACTCACAGTGCATCCGAAAGAGTTGGGGAAGGGTGAGGGGAAAGGGGGTGGAAGGCCATTCAGTCATTTCTCGTCGTTGCCGTTTTGCTGGATTATAGCGTGGCCTTTTGACTATGTGTATCACGTTACCAACCTTTGCTATCATCCCAGTGATGGGGTGGTATTGGTGGTTATGTGTTCTAGTCCTGTCAGTATCGAGTCACTCGTTTTCCCTATTTGCTATCAGTCATATCTTGTTTTGAGTCCTACCGGTCATGTGCATGTTGTATGCATGATGTGGAATGGGATGGTTTTGTGTATGAATCCCTGGAGTATATGGACGCACATTACTAAGTGTGTGCCTACATGCACTCGAGTATTCATACACGCAGACAGCACTCCATGTTTGCACGTCCTTTCATACTTATCCGTGTATGCATATCTAATTAACATTACGTACACACGCAAACTCTTTAATATGCGTCTACCAATGACTAGATTCATAAAAAACGAGCTCATCCACACGTAAGTTCATTCACTCTTCCATGCCTTGTGTGTAATATCGTCTGGTCGTGTCACTTTTTAAGCTATGTCGCGTTACTGGTATGTGACCTATCCGGTACTGTCTTATCATGTTCTGGTGGATGGTGTGTGTTGATGACGTTCTTGCTGCGTACACACTTCATTCCATTTGTTCTCATTAGTTAACAGCCATGCAGCAACACAGTTTATGGTTTCTTTGAGTGTACTGTAATTCACACACACACACATATATAAATATACGCTTCCATATATATACACACATGCACATTCATACACACATATACATGCATACATCAATACATTTCTATATCCATGTACTCGTTCATCTGTACCTTTCGTACAGCTATATTCTCACTGCCCTGTCCATACGTGATCCCTTACCATCCGCCTACATACATCATGTCTTATGTATCCATCCTATACATAAATGCACTCATACTACACGCACCCATCCTTGTGAATGCATTCATGTTCACATCTATGCACTCATCATACTTACATTAACTCTCTTACGCTAGGGTGTCCGGGGTCACCATCTGATCAGTTACTTCTGCTGTCCCGAGTTGATCCTCAACCTGGTCTTTTTAGTTTTGGTTTGTTTTTATTAGGTACTGTTTAATTAACAAGTTTTTGGATGTCTTTATTGCTATCCACCTTTAAACATTTGTTTGCAGTAATCTGTTGTTTGCGTTTCAGAAATACTCCTCAATGGGTTTCCTCTCCAATTTGTATTTAGTGCAGTTTATCATATAATGTTCTATCTTGAAAGCAGTCCAGACATATTGGAGATGTAAATTTCTCTGGATGCCACCCTAACCTAGCTCTCCATAGTAGTTTGTTAGCTGGGATTTTCAGTTTGTCCCGTACCTGTGTGTTAAGGAAGGGCTCTTTAAGGTTGTTGTATGCATCTCTGCCTTTAGTGCTCCATTGCCATTGGAGTTTCCACATTTTAATTATATGTCGTTTGATTATGCTAGTCCTTTCCGTTTTTCCCGAGTCCTACATCTACTAAAACATCACATTTAGCTCCCTTTTTGGCTGCTTGGTCAGCTTTTTCATTGCCTATTACACCTCTGTGTGCTGGTACCCATGCAATGATGTCTTGGCATCCTTTATTCTTGAGCTGGGTTGGTAGATTTAAGATCGTTTCTTTAATATCTGGTCTACTGCTAGTTTTATGTGTTTTTAACGTCTGCACTGAGGACAATGAATCTGTCAGTATGGTAAATTTTGTTGGAGGTTTATTTATTCTCTAGTGCCTTCATTATGCCGACTAGTTCTGCTGAGTATACTGCCACATGATCTGTTATTGTATATGCTCTTTGCATATTCCACAGTGGGATTATTACTCCTGCTCCTACTTCTCCTGCTTCATTCTTAGACCCGTCAGTGTATGCAACCAGATTGTCTGATCGGATCTGGTCTATAAATTCTTCTGTTATTTTCATCAGACTCATGTCTGTCCTGGGCAGCTCTAGTCTCCATGGAGGGATTTGAGGGACAAACCTAACGCTTGCCTCTAGAGTCCTAGCCAAGTCCTCATTATCGTTAATTTCTAGTGCAGCGTCACAGGCTGCTGGTCTCAGTATATCTCTGATCCAGGTGGGTAATGTTATGATGAAAAGCGTCTGAAGCTGGGTGTCTGGCATCGTTGGCCGCTTTCATCCAATAGTTATAAGCTAGTTGCTTCCTTCTGATGTTAAGCGGTGTGATGCCTAGTGCTACCTCCATGGCCTCTCTCGATGTCCCTTTGCCAGCGCCCATGATGAAGGTCAGAGCTTGGCACTGAATCCTATTACGTTTGCATTTGTTGTTCTCTTATGCTGAATCGTATACTACGCATCCGTATTCCATTTTGCCTCTAACGAAAGCTTTATAAAATTGTATTAGGGTGTCCTGGGGTGCTCACCATCCCTTTCCTTTAATCATTCTCAGCATATTATTGTACTTTTTGCACTTTACTACCAGATCATCAATGTGCTTAGCCCATGTCATTTGTTCATTCAGAATCATTCCTATAAATTTCGTCGAACGTGTCCGCTGAACTGTTCTACCATTAATTTGGAGTCTCGTTTCTTCTGGGTCATAATTAAGCTGTCTTTTAAAGTTAAATATCATGCTTACTGTTTTGTCGACGCTGATTTTAAATCCCCATTTTCCCATCCAATTTGCTACTTCATTTAGACTTTTCTGTAGTCTTTTCTTAGCGCAGGGTATCTGTTTATGGCTGTGGTAGATTGCACAATCGTCTGCAAGTTGCGTTAATCCTGTTTCCTTGTTCGTAATGACTTCATCAAGGTCGTTTACTAATATACAGAACAGGGTAGGGGATATTACTGCACCTTGAGGAATTCCATTAACCTAATCGTAAGTTTGTGATCTTTCGCTATTTACTAGTACTGAAAATGTTCTATCTTGCAGAAAGCTTCGGATATATCTATAGGTTCTTCCTGTGAATCCTAATTTAGCTGCTTTATACAAGGCTGCTGGCCGATAGCACTGGTCGTATGCTTGTTCCAGATCTAGGAACACTTCCATTGTCTTACCTCCTGTTTTAAATGATTTTTTAACATGGTCTTCTAATTTTATAATTTGATCGAGGGTAAATCTGTTATATCTGAACCCTGCCTGAGTTTTGCTAAACAGGTAATTCTTTTCCATGTGGAATGTTATTCTTTTATTGATGACTGTTTCTAATATTTTCCCGAGGTGGGATGTTAGTGATATTGGTCTATATATGTCTACTTTTTGAGGGTCCTTATTAGCCTTTT